CACACACACACACACACACACACACACACACACACACACACACCCCGAAAATAGGCATCGCGCACAGTGCGCACCTTGCACGGGTAGCGCGTCCCCATGCGCTGCACGCATGGCGCACCTCGTGCGCGTACGCGCGGTCACCACGCGCATTCCGCACGGCGCAGCGCACCGCACTAATGCGCCGCAAGTATGGTAACACCTCTTTGAGCCCTTTTGCTTCCTTTGCTAAGCACAACAAGGTGTTTGTTCGCCTGTAGAATCACATTCAATTCGTTTCAGGGTTTCAGTACTTGGTTTACCCTTGTGGATTTGTGCACATATTAGCATCTTTTTCGAGTCCTTTTGCTTCCTTTCGTAAGCACAACAAGGGGTTTGCCCGCTTGTAGAATCTCATTCAAAAAAAAAAAGATTCAATTGGCAGTTCGGCATGCAATTTTGCAGAAGTTTTGCTGTCTTTTTTTTTTTTTTTTTTTTTTTTACTCCGGCTGCTTTGAATGTTGTCATCACATGACATTGAATCCTCCAATCAGCAGCTTGACTGCATTTTCGGTTGTTCACCGATAACTTCGCGATAAGTTCCAGTTGTGCTCATACCATGTGAATGCAGTCAAGTTGTGCAGTTTCTTGCGAAGTGTACAAACCTCTGATTTGTTATTCCCATTGTCTTAACCCACTTTACAAGGATGAGTATTTGTGTGCGGGTGTGCACGTTTTTGTGTTTGTCATTGCAGGCCCTATGGGGGCTCTTATTCTCCAAGAGCTGTTACTGGGACACGATTTGTTATACTGAGTGGAAGCATTCCTTACCAGAGTTTGCGCAACTTTCTCGCAGAGTTCTACCACCCAGTTCTTAATGCAGGTGAGTTGTTTGTTTGAGCCACACTGAAAATAATGTAAGTTAACCAGGTACGGAAATGGATCCAGGTACGGAAATGGATTCGTCCAATCGAAGTGTGCGAGACATGAACAAAGAGTCAAAGACAAGCAATACCACAAAACACACTAAAGGAGAATTGTGTGTCAGACATGAACAAAGACAAGCAATACTGATTGTGGAGTCAAAAACAGGCTAAAGAATGGTTTCAGTGTGTGCTTCATGCTGTCTGCTATTTTCGCCGCTTTTTGTGTCACAAAGTGTGCTCGTGTAGTTGATATGTGACAATATATGTGACTGTGTATGTAATATTATAAATGTATGTAGTACATATGTACATACTACATATGTATCGTAAAGTATGTGTGCCCATGTATATCTAGGATATCTTTCCAGGCGTCCTCGCTGGCTCTGGCTGCCGGGAATGCCTGAGCAGGCAAGGTCCCAGGCAGCCCTTGTGCAAAAGAAAAGGAAAAAAAAAAAAAAAAAAAAAAAAAGGCAATGATTCAAGAACTTTTGGATGTGCTTTACTTCATTCTGCTTGCTATTGTCATGATACAAAACGTTTAAACCTCACATGAGATAGGCAGAGATTCACATGGTATGAGCACACTTGGAACTTATCTGGAATCTCCAAGTTACATGCAGCAGGACACTCTAGCTTCAACGGCTACATAGCAGATCTCTCTCTCTCTCTCTCTCTCTCTCTCTCTCTCTCTCTCTCTCTCTCTCTCTCTCTCTCTCTCTCTTTCTCGCTCTCTCTTGCTTTCCCTCTCTATCTCTCTCCTACCCCCCTAGTCTAATTTCCTGCCTCGCAATCCCCTTCTGAATGTCTTTGCCTCTCTCTCTTGCCCTTCTATCGTCCTCTCTCGGCTACTAGCTATGGTGCCGGGCGCCGTTGACTACTTCTACCCTCGACTCTCATGCCCTTATTCGCGGCTTGGTTGCACAACAATACAGCAGCTCTTCCGCAGCAGGCATGAATGGCAAATTGTATGGATGCTAGCAGGGACTTGACTTTTGTACTTGCTGCAGTTCCAAAATTCGACTTGTGATGTCGGCCTCTTTCTGCCTTGGCCACGACCGGCCTCAGTGATTCGGACCGCCGTAGGACTGAGGCTGCAACTTGACCAGGATTGGCACACAACTGTTTCCTTCCGACTGACCTCTATGGACCTTGGCCTACCGTTTTCTGTATGGCCTACTGTACAGTACCAATCGGAATCTCTAGAAAGTCCTATGGGTAGGGTCTAGGATACAGGCGGAATTTGGGACTTGGTACTGGGACCAAACCCTTAGATGTGTGAATCCTTTCACTCCCGCCGGCCTAATTTGAGGTCCTCCGAGGAAAATCCTTCTTTGATCTATCAAGCTGACATATTCCTTGTGAGCTTGTTCACATGTGAGACATGCAAGGTGCAAGGTGCAGTCTCACATGGTTGCTCCTTGGGAGACCACCTATCATCTTCTTGTTCTTCGTTTGAACTCCCATCTTACCGTGAGCTGTTGACTGCGTTGTGCTGCTCTGTTGGTTCGTAGTACAGCTTGATCCACTATTCAATCAATGTCATTGCTTCCGTCCATGATAGACGGGATCATTGATCGGCGTGAAGGGAAGGACTTTCCCGAGTTAACAGGGAACAACTTTGAGGGATGGAAGACTGGGTAAGTGTGAAGATGTGGAGGTACATCTACTGTATAGGGCAGACCATCAATATCTCCCATGACATCTAGGGCTTCTCACAGTCCTCTATACGTCCGTAGCAGTTCTTGAAAAGCCCCTTCTTTAGGTACAAATTTGTTAGACTTCACCGATACTAAGTCGTCAACTGTGGATCGCAAAGGTCTGTGATGCTTATTAGCTTGTGCTATGATTTCAAATCGGGCATGTCGAATATTTTCATCGACTTTCTGTAGGTCTTTCTCATACTTCAGTGTGAATTCACGAGTCTTGGGCGCCGGGCCGGTAGTCTTTGAATATTATGAGGATTCAGACAGTCATATTGGAAAAAGATTTCCGTATACTATTTTAGTATTTTGTTTCATTGTAGTGGTTTGACTAGCCAACACTGGCGACAACCGAAGATCTTTTATATGCCACTCATGGTCAAATTTGGTTTCAACCCAGTGCTTTCTCTTCGACTATCAGTCTTTGTGGCTCCCATCTCTCATGCAACTCGTTCGGAGTCCTATTAGGTGACAAATGTACTAAACTATTGCATGCACCGGCCACCTCAGGCAGATACTCATCCAAATCTTTTTTTTTTTTTTTTTTTGATTCTGCGTAATATACAGATGGAGGGTTCGCTATAGCAACTTATTCATCTGCTCTGTTTGACAACTGGGCTGTGGGCGTCTGCCTGAAGTCATGGTCAACTGTGATAGCGGTAACAGTCAACGCTGCGCCCGTCCATACTGTCATGATGCCACTGCTCCCCATGAACATAACATCCCTATTGCTACCGTCTTCACCCGAATAGAACGCCCCGTCATTATAGTTGTATTTGGCACAACTTTCGGTCCAGATGCGGCAATAATGACCGGGCGTTCTATTCGGGTGAAGACGGTAGCTATAGCCAAGGTGTGGCTGTTATCCTTGACCCAATTCGAGAAAAACTGACAGAGTACTAATTTGTTTTGGCTTCTGTTGGCGAAGGAATGAACTCTGCGTATTTGTCGAACCTGTCCACTATGGCCATGACTTGACTATTCCCATTTCTGCTTTTGACTTTAGTGTCCATAATAATGTCGATAGATATTGATTTGCTAGGTCGAGAGGGAATAGGTAGCGGTCTTAGCAGTCCTTGTGGGGCCTGCATCGTGATTTTGTTCCTTTGGCGTACTTCCCACTCATGCCCATATGTTATACAGTCTGTCCTTATTCCTAGCCATGTGTAGCAATGGAATATATTGGCATAAGTCTTCCTACAACAAAAAGTGCGTTCTATGTCGTGATCTTCCCCTCATATAATACTCCCTGAGTTCTTCACTTATGGTCACCTCCTCCTGGTCACCTCCTCCTCCCTCCTCCCTCATCATCTCCACCTTCTCGCCACCTCCACCCCCTCTTCCTCTTTGGCACGTACTACTCCCTCCTCGTCACCTCCGTCTCTCCTCCTCCTCGTCATCTCATCTCTTCCTTATCTGCAGAATTAAACAAAAAGGGTTCTGCACTGCTCTGGACAGTGCACGGACCATACCGCTTCAGTTGCGTGCTCCGCTGTGGCCTGCTGCGGTGCAGTACGGTCCAGTGCAGCACACCGGTAGGCGCCGCACAGTGCACAGCAGACCAGACTGCATGCTTGCAAGTATGTTTCAGAGTGCTTCGTGAGGTCTACTGTTTTCGTCATTTGTTTTGCAAAGTGCACTCTTTTAGTTGACAAGTATGTTATGAAAAATCAAAGCCAAGTAAACAAAGGGTAGTCCTTCGGGAGATCCGTTAAAATTGGAACGATACAGAGAAGATTAGCATGGCCCCTGTGTAAGGATGACACACATAATGGAGAAATGGTCCAAATTGGCAAATTAAAAAAAAAAAAGAAGAAGAAGAAAAAAAGAAAAGTAAACAAAGGGTAGAAAATAGCTGCACAGGAAAGGCAAAGGAACAGTTTCAGATTGCTTCATGCTGTCTGCTATTTTGTTTGCTTGTTTCAAAAAGTGCACTCCTTTAGTTAAATAGATAGGTGAGATAATGTGACAATATATGATGTCCAATTTAGGAACTGTGATAACATGTTGGAAGAGTGGCTTTGTGATTTTGCTGAAGGCTTGTGGCAGCATGTGCAGTCTTTGACGTGTGCTTGTTACTGTTGATGTGAGGCTTCTTACAGACCTGGCAGCATTCCCTCTGAAGGTGGTTGTAATGGGACCGCACAAGCCATCGTGAGTTTGACGTCTGCACTATCACCCTCTTATTCTCTGTTTGATTCATTCCGTCTGCCCTTCCCGTATCACTTCCCCATGTTTCCAAAAAATGATCTGGCACTCACAGAGTGACTGGGATGGCTCAGCTCTCCTAGAAAAAAGAGGTAACGGCCTAGCTCAGTTGGTACACCCATGAACTGTTAAAATACAAACCTTGGTTCGAATCCGGATGCAAACAGATGAACAGAATGAGGTAATTTTGAATCACCTGGGCCAGGTCAGTTCAATCATCAATGATATCTCAAGGCCCTCAGGCTTTTTTATTGGGCGGGGGG